GTTGAGCACAAAGCTGTGAAGCTGTCCAGTGAAGCTGTCCAGCTCTGCAGTGCGGATGTGATTCCTGGCCAGCCAGGGAGATACCCACATGGCGCAGCAGACCTCTCCTGCCTCGCCTACTGCTCCCCTCAGCAGTGCTTTCGGTCCGTCTGCCTGTTCTGCTCCCCGCTCTATCTCTGGTGAATTCTCTCACCCTCCCGTGCTTCTGACTGTACCCGGTGCTTGCATAAATAAATAAATAAAATTAAAATCAGGATGGTTTACATAATGAGGTGGCTGTGAGGGTAATGTGATAATTTATATAAATCTATATAAGTATTAGTCGTTTTCACTATCAATATTCTCATTTTATAAAGAAGACAGGGAAGCTCAGAGAGGTTGAGTCATGTATTCACAGCCCAGGAAGTTCCAGAGCAGAGTGCCACAGCGGCAGGATTGTCAGAGGGGAGAACAGATACCTCCATTGAGTCTGTCCTGTCTCTCTCTGAGAGGTTGGTTCCATCATGGACAACCCCATGAATAAGCTAGCATGGACTGTCAGCCCTCATTCACTGACATGAGGAAATGCTTTCTCTTTTGGTTCCAATTCTAGAGCCAAAGATCACACTAACAGTTGGAGAATTGAACTGTCACTTGCTGCCTCCTGCAGGTAGAACTGGAAAGAGCAGGTACCTTCCCCTTTGTGCAGGGAACTCTACACTTGAGCTTTTATTCCCTTCTCTGCCACCTGAAAGTCCCTGGTACAATCTGAGCAACAGCAGTCCAAATTAAGTTGCAGTTAGACCCAGCAATTCCACTGCTATGAATTCAGGCCACCTGCAAAAGTTGGACAAGATTTGCGTGCAAAGCTGGTCATTATTTGGAAGTGTTTCTCTCAGTCACAGAGCAAGTAGCCTTTGAGGAAGGTCAGGAGGAAGTTTGTCTTTTGAAGACCTTCAAGACATTTGGCTAAATGATGAGCTGAGAGCAGAGATAAAAGAGTATCACGTAGGTATGTCGATGTTGTCATATACATATACATAATCAAAATGAAATTTTGTCATTTTGCAAGGAAGTTGGGAAGAGAAGTTTCCAAGCCTGCCTGTCTTCCTCCCTCCCTTTCTTCCTTCCTTTCAACTTTTTCTGTTCTGTGTGGTTTTTTTTCTTATATGGGATGCTTACGTGTATATATTTAATGTAATCAGAAGATTATGGGAGGTTTTAGATTTTCTCTTTATTTTCTCTTTTCTCTTGATTTCCTTCTGCATTAAAAACTCAGTGATTCAATAGTAAAAATGCAAACTCAAAAGCAGTCACAATATGGTGATAGGAGAAAAGGTTGATGATAAAACAAGTGTAGAATAAGATTACACTTTAATTTTTTTAATTATAGATAGCAAGAGACTGGGGGTAGAGAAACCAAAACAATAACGCTATTTCAGATGTGAGTGGTTTCTTAAATGTCGTTTTGGATTTCTCTATATTTTTCTGATTACATATTCCACAAAAAAATTACTTGAATATCATTTTTTAATTACAATATGTAATATGTATGTGTAATCAGATATGTGTTTTGTAATAAATAGATGTACAACATGGTGAATGTATTTAATATCAATGAGTTGTACAATTCAAAGTGAATACAGGTTGGTTATTGCAAAGTCACTTTCTTTTAGGGAATGACAGGCATATATCAGGTGGTTTACCTAACTAGTGCTGATAAAGTAATTTTTCATTGACTAGCTGAAAATTCTATTTCTGGGAGAGCTGAAACTGCAGTTAATTTAAGTCTAGATTTGGTGACATGGGCTTAGCATAAGATACTCCATTTGGGGCCTGTTGTCTTGATTTTTTGAGAATATGTAGGTCCCAGATGAGGAAAAAGGGAGACAATTTTCTCCAAATCAAGTTCTAGATATTGAATTGAGACTGATTTATGACTTAAAGTGATGATACTACTGTGTGACATATAAAAACATGAGAGGTAAATCATGAGGTCAGATAGCATTTCATCCAGGGCCAGAGGACAATGACCCACATTGAAAAATGTATTAAAATGATGAAAGCAAAGACAAATAAAACTGTCATCAGGGGCCTCCCTGGTGGTGCAAGGGGTTAAGCACAGCATGGTGAAGCTATCCACAGCCTCTGCAACATGAACTCAATCCCCGGCTGGCCAGGGAGCTACCCACATGGCACAGCAGACCTCTCCTGTCTTGCCTACTGCTCCCCTCAGCAGTGTATTTCAGTCAGTCTGCCTGTTCTGTTCCCCATTCTGTCTCTGGTGAATCCTCTCACCACCTGCACCTCTGGCCTGTACCCCAGTTCTTGCATGCATAAATAAATAAATCTTTTTTTAAATTAATAATTTTTAAAACTGCCATCAGTTTTGCTTATGATAATAGTTCTGCTTCTTCAACAAATTGCTCGTGATATTAGGTAAGGAAAAACAACACAATATTAATAAGAAAAAACAGCTCATTGAATGCTCAGCATTATGGCAGCAGTACCATCTTTCAGCACAACCTCTGAACTATATTCTATGATCACAGCCTCAATGCCAAAGGGCTAACATTTTATTCTGGGGAAAATCAAACCTTGCTACAATACCGTCTCAAGTAATGGAAGCAAGGGGTTTAAGCCCAAAAGAAATGAAACCTATATCCATACAAAGACTCATATACAGTCATGCATCACATAACAATAGGAAATACATTGTTGGTCAATTTTGTCATTGTGTGAACATCATTCTGTGTAATCACAGAAACCTGGATGACACTGCCTTCTTCTACACACCTAAGTGGTATAGTCTGTTGGGACCACCATTGCATATGAGGTCACTTAAAAACCATCCTTAAGCAACACATGACTGCACCCACAAGAGGTGTATTCGTTACAGCCCCAAACTGGAAATAACCCAGGTGTCCATCTGCTACAGGGCAGCAAAGGGGTACTGAAACTGGCCAATGACACTGCCCAAATAGTTTACTGGTCACAGTCTGGGTTCTTCATCCGTGTGTGCAATTGCAAGACTACTCATGTTCAGAGAACAGCAACAATGGGGTTTATTTAACAAAGCAGGGTAAAAAAAAAAAAAGTTACTGAGGCCAAAAATGGCCATTTATCTCACTCGAAGCAGTGCCCAGTACTTTAAAACAAACGGTCCCAAGATAGCAAATTCCCACCACTGAGGCCTGGAGTACGTGCAGCCAGACTATAGGCCGGGATCCAACGCACAAAGACAGCAGAAGACCCAACAGGAGATGCTCACCAGAGCTGCCAAACTACACAGCAGCCAAACCACCTGATAAACAGCCACAATCATGTAGCTCAGCCAGGCGCTCCACTACCATCTTTGGGGTCTTCACCTTCCCTGCCAGGCTATAACAGCAGCTAAATGGAGACAGTTTCAGTCCCTCAGCTACTTGTAAAGTCCGTGAACTGCACCTCTCTGAGGTTGGTTGGTGGAAGCCTCTCCATGTTCTTCAGACGCCCACAACAGCCTTCTGGAAGATTGGCATGGTGGGGGCAGAAATCACTGACTCCGGAATCCCTGAAAATCCAAAAAAGTTGAAATCCCCAACGCTGGATCTGGAACACTCAATCTTGGGGCTGCTTCTGCAGTCCCTTATATTTCTTATCAGAGTCTCCAGCCCCACCAATACTTTGTTTGAATTTTCCCTGGGGCTATTCATCCTCACCTGCAGCGCCCTCCAGAGGGTGCCACCTCTAACAGTCTTTGGCTTCAGTTGCCAGTTACACATCCCTAAGTGAGTGGATAAACAAACTGAACGTGTTCATACAATGAAAAAATACTCTGCAATAAAATTGAATAAAATACTATTAACCTAATAGAAAGACTCTCATATTATGCTCAGTGAAAGAACTCTAGCTCAAAGAAACACATACAGTATGGTTCCACGTCTGTGAAACTTTTTAAAAAGACAAATCTAACTTATAGTGAGAGAAAACAAATGGAGTTGCCTGGAGAGAGGGAACAGCATGTGAAAGTTAACTGGGAAGGAGAATGAGTGGGTGTTCTATATCTTGACTGTGGCAGTGATCCCGTAAGTATGTAAATATGACAATTAAAATAGGTGCCTTTTGCTGTTGAAAAACTATCTCAATAACATATTTTTAAAAAAAAAAATATTTATTTATTTATTTATACAAGCTCTGGGTACAGTCAGAAGAGCGGGAGGGTGAGAGAATTCACCAGAGCCAGAGCGAGGAGCAGAGCAGGCAGAAGGACCGAAGTACACTGCTGAGGGGAGCAGCGGGCGGCAGGAGAGGTCTGCGCGCCATGTGGGACCCTCCTCTGGTGGCCTGGGAGCAGCCGGGGATCGAACCGGCGCTGCAGAGGCTGCGGGCAGCTTCGCAACCCAGCGCTCAACCGCTGCGCCACCGGGGAGGCCATCAATAACATATATTTAAAAAAAAAAAAATTTTAAGATTTCTGCTGAAATTTCTTTTTTCCTTTTTTTTTTTAAGATTTATTTATTTATACATACAAGCACTGGGTACAGTCAGAAACACGGGAGGGTGAGAGGATTCACCAGAACCAGGGCGGGGAACAGACAGGCAGACTGACGAAATACACTGCTGAGGGGAGCAGCGGGCGGCAGAAGAGGTCCGCGCGCCATGTGGGACCCTCGCCGGTGGCCGGGAATCGAACCAGCGCTGCAGAGGCTGCGGGCAGCTTCGCAGCCCAGCGCTCAACCGCTGCGCCACCAGGGGAGGCCTATTTTAAAATTTTAATAGCACTGATATATTTCACATTATAGCGTCATTTACAAAAAGCTGAAAATCTAATGAGTACTGACTAGTTTTACAAAATTAGGTTGTCGTCCCCTGACAACCGGAAATGTGGCAGGAGACAGGACGTAATGGAAGCGAACAGGCACGACTCCATATGCGGCCAGCCACCCGGAAGTGTGGCCGGCTCTAGACACCAACGGCGCACGCGCACCTCCTAGATCAGCCAATCAAGACGAAGTGAGGCCGGCGTTTGGAAGGAAATAGCGTACTCAAACAGGAAGTGTGGCAGTTCACCTAGAACCGGCCGCAGGCGTTATGGCGGCTTATGAGCAAGTTCAAAAGGGGCCTTTGAAGCTGAAAGGCGTTGCAGACCTAGGCGTGACTAAGCGGTGAGTGCTGAGAACGTGAAGAACATTCTCATCTTACCCCCTTAGGTTCCGGACTCCTGCCCTCTGACCCGCTGTCGCCTTCTCTCTCCCCTTCTCGTCTCGCCTTCCAGGAAGAAGAAAAAGAAGGATAAAGACAAGGCGAAGCTCCTGGAAGCGATGGGAACGAGCAAAAAGAACGAAGAGGAGAAGCGGCGCAGCCTGGACAAGCGAACCCCGGCCCAGGCGGCCTTTGAGAAAATGCAGGAGAAGCGGGTGAGACTGGGTCTCCCGGCTGGGTGTGGAGGCGGGGCCCGGAGACTCGAAGCTGAATCAGGCCCGGACGCACGGAGGAGGCGGGCCAGCGGTCGGAGGGAACCTTAATTTTGGGCTAAAGATGCTGCGTGAGTGAGAAAGGAGTCCCCCATATCTGGGCATGCGCCCGGATTGGAAGCCCCTCTGTGTCGAGTGGACTTGCGGAGGGGGAAGCTATAGCTCGTGTTGAAAGGAGACCAGAGCTGGATACCGGGCCTTGGATTCCAGCACTCTCTTTGTCTCATCTTATCCCCGGGCTTCCATGTCCTCAGCTGTAGAGGTCAGGATGGTGCTTTCTCCTAAGAGAGGAAAACAGGATGAAGAAAAACTTTGTCACGAGGTCCATCAAAAAATTGGTACTCAATTGAAGTCGGTTGTTGACATTAGTTGGCTCCCTGATATAAATCACCACAGAGTCTGTTTCTGTAATGACTGGCAGATTCAAGTATGTTGTATTTTAAGGCTGTAATATGTAATTTCTCATATATTAAGAACTTAGTTTGGGCAGTGTGATGTGGAAGTCAGCATAGTATAAGGTTGACCACTTTTACTGTTGGAGAAATAATCTAGGTCAGTGGTTCTCAACTGGGAGCTGATTTGTCCCCATCTCCACCCATAGGAAGACATTTTTTGAGGCATCTAGTAGTTTGAGACCCGGGGTTGCTGCTCAACATCTTACAATGCTGAAGAAAGCTCTCCCTCCCCTCAAGCAAAGAGTGAGCTGACCCTGAATGTCAATAGTGCCCACGCTGAGAAACCATAAACTTAGTCTGGGTGATTTGTCCAGTGACATCAAGAAAAACAAACATTACTTCCAGGCCTAAGTCAGTTCAACACCCAAAAATGGTGAGACAAAAAACAAACCTGGGTTCCACCCTGCTTCTGCCATTTGGTGGTGGTATTTCTCTGGGTGAGTTGGCTGATCTCTCACACATGAGTTCCTTCATCTGCAAAGTGGGACTAGGCCCCGCTTTATAGGCTTATGGTGAGGATTTAACAGTGAATGCATGTGAAGTCCCTTCCCTAAGGTTATAGAGACAGAGTTGGTATTTTACTGCTGGAGCCAGGGTGGGTGGGAGAGAGACTAATGGTGACTGTTAAAGTCAAATGTCACTGATTGACACCTTGGTCAGCAAAGACCTGCCTATACAATAGTTGTCTCAATAGGGTGTACCATCCACCCTAGGTGTATAGTAAGCTCCCAGCAGAGTTCACCCATGCTCACTTGGCACTGGTTTGTTTCCTGCCACTCCAATCAAGTTCCACTGGGAACTTGGGCATCCCTATTAGGCCAGCCCAAGTGGAGCTGAGGGAAGGACAAGGTACACACTCAAAGACCTCCAGCCATCTGAGTGTGAGAGCCAAGCTAGCTGGGGGTCCCTGTTTTTAATCCTCTTCTGGCTGTAAAGCATGTGGATTCACCTCCATTTCTCTTTTTCAGCAAATGGAAAGGATCCTGAAGAAAGCATCCAAAACCCACAAGCAGAGAGTGGAGGTAAGCCATGTGCCTCCTAGGGAGCCTGATCCCTGTAGCATCCCAGCAGGTCCTTGAGGCTTGCAGCCAGGCAGAAGAACCATTGGGTTGTTGACAGGGAAGTAGTGGTTCCCCCACAGAAGGGAAATCTCCCCTTGATTGTTTAAGAGATAACCCAGAGATTGGATATCTGTAAACTTGGTAGGGTGACTGAGAAGAGGGGCTCACCGAGGAGAGATGGGATGGGGGGGATGGCACTGTAGCAGGTCTCCAGTGCCCTGCTAGGGTCTGTGCTGACAGGCTTTCTCCTTGCCTTCTCCAGGACTTCAATAGACACCTGGACACACTCACAGAGCACTATGACATTCCCAAAGTCAGCTGGACGAAGTAGCCTCCCATCACAGGTTGTGGAACACCATTGAGCAGAAGGGGTTATGTGTGGTGCCTTTGATGTTTGCTCAGAATATCGTACACATACCCTTTCATCTTTTGCTGAGACAGTGCTTTTCAAAGCAGTGTCCCTGAATTCTGGAACTCAATTAAAGTAAGATTGCCCTTTCACTCTATTTTGGTTTCTCAGTAGCACAGGGAAGATAAGACTTTTTAGTTTGGACTGGAAATTCCTGAAAGCTTATCCAGAGGTCATTTCTGTGTAAATGCTATGGAAGGTTTAACCCTGAGTTGTATCTAACTCTTGCTAGACGGGCAGCTATCTTTGCATGGATGAAACTGACTGTAAGGAGCTCAGCAAGGTTCAAAACATGCCGACCTCTTGAAGTTTTGCAGGGCTTTCCAAATTCTTTCTAGCTTGGGGTAGATGCTGTTCACCCAGGCCCTGAGGAATCTACTTGCAGCTTCATGTCATCCTCAGTCACCTGGCCAGTGAGGAACTAGGAAACAGCATTCTCTTCCCCATAAACCCTTTCCGAGTATGTCCGGTAGACATTGCTAACTGTGCGCAGCATTGTGATGTAACCCAGAAGGTATGTGCTTCGCTAAGGGGCCTCAATCTGTATTTGTACAGAGTTGGCACAGAACATGGAGCCTGTTTGGTGTTTCTGGCCTGAGGACTCTGGGGACAGGACCAAGTAAGAGCACAGAGAGCACAGACAGACATAGGTACAGTTAAAGGGTCAACCCAGGTTCTGGTGCTGGAGTGTCAGGACCTTTAAAGGCTTACATATACCTGATGAGGATGGAACTGCACACACTTGTGGGAGAAACATGGAAAGAAAAATAGATGAGAAAAGCTAAGTGGTGGATTTGGTGCTGTCGTGTGAACTGAAGAATAAAGCAAAAGCCAATTATTAAATATGTCTGAGCGTCTTGATTATAGGCTGTTCGATTATCACTAGCAATACATAATTTTTAGATTTATCACACATGAAAAATCTGCATACTGCCAAATGACCCTCCACCCTTAATTTGGAAAATATTAGATGTGTTTCTACCTGTGGTTTTTAACTACCTAAGATAATATACTATTTCATTGCAGCGAGGCAGCATTTCAGGCCTATCTAAGTAGCAACTGGGTCTGAGTGGGATATGGTTCTATAAAAATCCTGCATTGGTGGGCCCCCCCTGGTGGCGCAGCAGTTGAGTGCTGGGCTGCAAAGCTGCCCACAGCCTCTGCAGTGCCAGTACGATCCCCGGCTGCCGGCAAGGGTCCCACATGGCACGACAGGCTCCTCCTGCTGTACCCGCTGCTCCCCTCAGCAGTGTATTTCGTCGGTCTGCCTGTTCTGTTCCCCACTCTGGCTCTGATGAATTCTCTCACCCTCCCGTGCTTCTGACTGTACCCAGTGCTTGTATAAATAAATATTTTTTAAAAATCTTGCATTGGTGTGGTAGAAGATAATCCAGTTCTCCCTGTGTAAGTTGGTGCAAGAATTCTCACCTCTGGCCTGTACTCCAGTTCTTGTATGCATAAATAAATAAAAAAAAAATTCTCCCAGACCAGGATTAGTAGCCTTTAAATATTCCATTTTTCTCTGAATTTTCTTACACCTCTCCCCTCAAGAGAGGATATAGAATCACAGAGATGCAAAAACTCATTCAAAACCCCAAGCGGTGGTAGAGAAGGAAAGATGAGAGCCAGGCTGCCTGGGCAAATGGTTCCAGGGCACTGTTGATGGTTCACTGGCATTTCTTCACAGCCCAGCTGCATAAACACAAAGAAGATAGAACTCACATGATAAACCCAGGGACCACAATTTGCATTACCCACTTGGACACTAATTATAGTAACATAACACCTGGGTTTATTGGCTCTTGATTTCTCAGACAATTCCAGGCAATAAGCAGGCAGATTTGTTCACTAATAGTGGCACTTAGACAGGTAATAGGTAATACGTTGCTAAGGCTTAGTTGCCATTCAAAGAGTTTGAAAACTTTACAGGCATCCTCCACCTCACCCTCCCATAGAGTTTATCACAGTTGGTGACGGCCTATTTGTTTCCTAGACTTCCCCACCAGAATGAGCTCCTGCGCCCCAGGTGAGCCCCACAACCGAGATCTCTCTCTTGGCCCACAGGAGTGGGTGTCCAGTCGCCCTGGCTCGGTCGCCCAGCGGAGTTGCTAGAAAAGGCATCGCTTCAGCCCGCCCCGCCCAATTCCGCCAGGGCCCGCTTCTCTGGGCCTTACTTCCGGGGTGCTTGAAGCTGGAAGTGGGAGGGAAACAAGCTCACATTGGGCGTTTTGCGTCCGCGCACGCTCCGTCTTGCGCCTGCGCACTCCTGGCAGCTCCTCCCCGGCCGGACATAACGGTTCCCTCGCGGCACCCGGACCGGAAGTGTCGCGGGGTGCGCTGGGCTTTGCTCAACGATCGGCAAACCCAGGTGTCGCCGCCGCCCTCGGCCGCTGCCGAGGCCTGCTGCAGCCGCCATGTCAGCCAGCGCCGTCTACGTGCTGGACCTGAAGGGCAAGGTAAGGAGAGCGTCACACCCTCTCGGTTGCCAAGCAACCGGCGGGGGCCTTGCCCGACGGAGACCCACCCTGTTGCTAGGTAGCCAGCCAATAGGACCCAGGCTGGTCTTAGGCCAGGCGACTGGTCGGCCTCACCTGAGGGATCTACCCTGTTGCTGGATAACCAGTCGGGGCCTCGGGTCCGCGAGTCGCGCCCTGTTGCTAGGTGACCAATCGGGGTCTCAGGTCCTCCAGCCTAACCTTGTTGCTAAGTAGCTGGTGGGCCGCTGCCGTTGCCAGGTAACTGGCCGCAAGTCCACCTCACCCTGGAGGGCTAGGGGCTCAGGCCTGGGTGGGTCTCAGGAAAGCCGTGTCAGTAGAGAGAATGGGCCGCTGCTGGCTTCCAAGCCTAGCCCGACAACGAAGGTTTTAGCGACCCTTGGCCGGAGGTGGCCAGGCATATCAGTGTTGGCAGACAGTGTACCCTCGGGCTGGTTCCGCCCTCTCGGACCAAGAGGCTGTGGCTACTGTTTATCGGCGAATTCTTTGTGCCAGTCCCCACAGGCATTTCCTAACGTTCGTGGTGACATTGAGTTACAAGGGTTAGGTGATCAAGGTGAGAGGTGGGGGTAGCGGCATCTTAGGCAAGAAGAAACTGAGGCAGGAAGAAGTGATGCCACCTACCTTCTCTGTCACAGAGAAATGGCAGGTCTAGTTTAACCGAGAATCATTTGTTCATCCAACTAATATTTAAGGGCACCCACCAAAGTCAGACAGGGTGCTAAACCTTGGAAAGAATAGAGTTCAAATCAGTCTCCTCTGGAACTGGCAGTCTGGTGGGACCATGGACATCAGTCTCAGCGAATACAAATAATTGTAAAATGTAATGGCAGAGCAGTGAGGATATAATAGAGAGAACCAGCCCCAACTGGAAGGGTCAGGAAGGGCCTCCTGGATGGGTGTGACAAATCAGTCTAAGATGTGAAGGAGTTGGACCTAAGGTGTGTCTCCCAGGGGTAGCTAAGAAAACTTCTTAAAGGAAAAATCTCAAAGTCCTTCAACAGTGGACCACTGCCTTCCCCTAAGTCCATCTCACTGCGGGTACCTGGCCTCTTGCATCTGAGAACACGGAGAACAGAACAAGTAGCATTTAAACAGTATGAGAGAAATGTGGTGTCGGGCAGGCGTTAGGAGTGAAGAGATGAAGTGGCTGCCCCTTCTGCCCCACTGCCCACACCCTGCACTCTCCTAAAGTTCCTTGAGTGAGTTGCTTGCCTTGGATGCCTTCCAAAGTCAATAGCTAGTGACGTCCAGGGCTGGACTTCCTTCCCCAGCCTTCTTAGAGGCAAGGAAGGACAGAGGGTACACCAGAGGCTGGGTGGGCAGTGCTCCCTGAGTTCTCGTAACAAATGTTCTTGTTTCTGCCCTGGCCACTGTGTCCCCAGAGATACCAGCAGGATGCCTGTGTCAGATCACTTAATTCCTTTGCAGATATTCAATGAGCACCAAGCATATACCAAGTCCAACACTGACCATCTCACCATAACTGCGGAGCTGAACCCCAGAGTCATCTCTGCTGTGTGACCTTGAAAAAGTGCCTTCCCTTCTCTGAGCCTCACTTTTCTCACTGGTTAAGTGAGACTTTGAGGGCATTATTGTGTGAACTTAGATGAGCAGATACATAGGGTGGCTCAGCACCAGCCATGGCTCACCCACAGTCCATGCTAGCCCCCATGCACCTCAGAGCTTAGCAGGGACAAGACTTTGAAACTGATCCAGATGGTCAGCTCTAGTTAGACACCAGGACCTGGAAAACGCCTGAGGTAATACAAGTGCCCAACCTGTTTGGGGTGGTAAAAGAAGAGGTGGTTATGAAAGTATTCTTGGAAGAGAGAGATGCTGGAACTGGGAAGGTGACCAGATGGCACCAGATGGCAGGTAGACAAGGAGGTGTTGCAATGGGCACAAGAGGCGCAGGGCCTCCTGCTAGGACTGGCAAGCAGGCAGCAAGTCCTGGGTAATGCTGGAATCTGGAGCATGGCACCAGGAGGGTTGGAAGTGATGAGGATATCCAGACAAGAGTGGGGACATAGGGGATCACTTTACTCCCAGGAGGACTCACCGTGAGGAGACAGTAGTGTGGGAGAAGCATGATCAAACCTGCCTTTCAGGAAGCTGCCTGCTGTCAGCAGCAGCCATTGTGCCCTTGTTACTCCACTCCCGCAGACCTCACGTTTGAAGAGTTTGCCTCTGGCAAAAGGCTGCATTTAATCAAAAACAAGTAATGGCACATCAAGAAATTCATGACTACCTGTCTGCCAACCAGAGCCTCAGGTCACCAAGTAAACCAACCTAGCCACACTCAGCTATAGAAAGCCCTCTGTGCGTACCTCCTCACCCTTCTCTTCCTAGCTTCTCTGTGGCATCAGACTTCGTTCTCGCACTCCTCCCATCAGGCATCTCTGGTCTCTGGGTTGCCAGTTTTGTGCCCATTTCTCTCTCTGCCCACCATCCTCTCTGTTTCCGCCCTCCCTTGGTCTGTTGGCTCCTCAGGCCCAGGCGTGCCTCCAGCACTGTCCCTTTCCCAGGCAGGCTGATTCATGTCAGTGCACCAGTGACTTAAATGTGCTCCCAAGTTCAGAGCTCTTCTCTGGACATCCGCTGGCCTCCAGGATACCGTGGGGTTCCACAGCCACCACCAACTTGCATTTCCCAGACTACACACATCAGTCACCTGGGCATCACTCTCCCTTTCTTTTCTCTTACCCACATACCCACTGCACACACACTCACCTGAACTCATGTATGGGCCAGGCTCCGTTAGGACACAGCGATGACTGATGCGGAAGTGGTCATGACTATCAAGAGATGTTAGTCCTTATTAGAAGCCACGAAACATAAATGAGGATACAAATAAATACCTAGTGGATTGGTGATGTGGGCAGTGAAGGTAAATGGGTTGGGGGAGGAGGGGACAGGATATGATCCTTGCTCTGGTTGAGAGAAGACTTCTTTAGGGGCAAGAATAGCTGTGAACGATTCAGAGACTAAGTAGATCAGGGTAGCAGCAGTGGGATGAGTCTGGGGAACATGGGTGGAGCAGCATTAGAGGGGCCATGAAGAGCCAGACAGGTCAAGAATAGTGGCGTGGTGGGGCTGCCACCTCATCGCCACCTGCCTCACTCCTGTCTTCTATCCGCAGCCTCAGCTCCGAGGCTGGCCTCTCTGCCTAACCAACATTCTCAGGTCCCCCTGTGGCTTTAGCCCCCCTGCCGCTCTAGCCCTACACCTCTACAGCTTGAAGGTCATGCCCTTGGGGCAGCCCTCGGTTCCCCCAAGCAAGCATACCAGTGTAGGAGCCCAGTTCATCTTAGCACAGCTCATCCAGGCGCAGCGCAGCGCCGCCGTTGCGGAGGGGCACGCCGCGCATGCTTGCTGAGACCAGACCTCTGCAGCCCTGCTGAGCCAAAGCAAATCAGTCACTCCCTGCCCTTTCCTTGGGGGGTCCAAGTGCCTGTGCCAGAAGCACCTCCCAATATTACATGGGGAAGGAGATGAGTTTTGGGAAACTCAGGAAGCAATAAGTAGGGAGCAGAAGTCGCCCAGCAGGGAGTGTAAACAGGGAGTTAAATCTTGACTCACTTTCATTCACTGTATGACCTCAGGCCGGTGGTGTTGCTTCTTTGGAACTTGCTGTAAAAATAATGGTTGTACCTCATGGCCAGGGTTTATGAAACAGTGTATACTCCTTGCAAGGAGAATAGAGGAAACACTGATTTGAACTAAACAGTTTAATGAGTCCCCCAACCAGGGCAGGTCCAGGTACCCGTGAGCACACCTGCTGAGTCCTGGGTCCTGAAAAGCCTCAGCAGGAGGAGGGCACAGTGTCCCTTCCACCGACCATGGGAAGAATCTAGGAAAGG